AGCTAGGCCCCGGGCTGGCCCCCTCGGGCCCAGCGAGCCTGGGCCCCCGTTTGTCTTCCACAGGGGTCAGGGTGAGGGGAAGGCTCCGGCGCGCTGCCTCCCTCCCGCCTCCTGCCTCTGGCCGAAGTGTCGGGCACGAAATGAAGTCATAAAGTTGTCTGCCCTCCTCCCCACCCGCGGCCGCGCGAGGTCCTTGGGGGTAGATGTCATCCGTGTGCTTGCGTGAGCGTCAAACTGGGGAAAAAGTGGGGGGAAGAGAAGGGGGAGTGAGGAGGAATGGCCACACAGCCGGTTGCTGATGCAACACGCCAAGGGTGTACTCATTTTTAACTTTCTGCCTTTCTAGTCTTAGTGAGCTTTTTGCCCCTTTTTTTTTTTTAATTGTAGGGTTTGGGCTTTTTCATGTTACATCTAGTCACATTTTCACATCAGGTTTTGTTCTAAAGTTTCACAGTTAAAAAACTGCTGCTTGCCGTTAGCAATGGACCAGTTTATCGGGAGAAAATTGGTAATATAATGGGAGTGTTTTGATGTAACATATCTCCTTTAAATTATTAAAACCAAATTTTTTACAATGAATAAAACCATCTTGAGGGAGGTTAGTAAACTAAATAGCTGTCGTATTTGAAACGAAATATGTTTTCTGTGCTGCCTGATTAGTTGTAATTCTGTTGCCGTTACCTTATATTTGAGCTTGAGGTTTGGTTGGTTGGTTTTTTGCTTTTATGAACTTTGCATAGGTTTTTAGAACAGAGACATTTTTAAAAAAAGCTGTGCATGGTTGAGGCTTGAGAGTCTGTCTTTCATTCATTTCGGCTAAACCTGTATTTACAGTACTGCGATTTCACTGAAAACCCCCAGACACTTGCTTCTGGAAGACTTGCTTTCTAACAAATTATTTGATAATCATTCCTACTTATGAATTCACTTAAAAGACTTGCCTGATTTTATTTGAAATAGTTTCTGGGCAGTTTTTGTTACGGGCTGCTCAGAATGGCTGGATGACATTGGATATAGAATAAATGCATCTGGTTTTGGTTTTGAGTTTTTCAAATTCACGTAAGAGTGCTTGTTTGACGTGCGTTGTCATCTTGACCTTATCAGCTGCTTGTATCAGTATTCCAAGAACTGTCAGTTTTCCATGTAAGTCCGTGAATGAATTCACAAACTTTTAGAAACAAGCTTTCTGAAGGAAATACGCTGAGACTATTAAAAATATTTTGTTGATCCAGTTAGTTCCAAATGCAATTTCCATTCATTTTCTTCCTGGCCCTGATTTAAAAGACTATGTTTACTTCTCCATGTGATACAATCAAAGGAACAGTAAACACAACAGAATTCATGTTGAATATCCATAACCTGAGAACTGGACATGTAGAGAAACCATTGGAATTACATTTTTCAATCTTTAAATGCAGCTGTCTACGTATAAATTTAAGTAAGAGTGCAGCTCTAAGCTCACCATGCGTTATGTCAGTTTTCACCAAGAATAATTGGTGGTCTAATGTTTTTTTTCCTGTGTTTCTTTTTCCTGAAATACTTTACTCCTCCTTGGAAAAACCTTCCTGAAACTTCCTGCTTGTGGCAAATTTCGGCCCCTGACTGTAGTTACTTTTCCTGGAACATTTTCATCATCATTAATTACCGCTAGCCCAGACCTTTCCAAAATTTAAAAATACTGCTTGCGCTAATTAGGAGCATGTTAATTTTTTCTTTTCAGTATGTAACCCCCATATAAAGCGTCAAATAATACTTAAGCTACACCTTTAAATAAAACAGATTTTTAAAAATTTAATTTGGACTTACAACTGCTGGGAAAAAAACTCCAGAATTTAAGAATAAAGGTATTCCAGCTAGACTAGTTTCAGCATTCTTGGACTAACAAACCATGATTTGATGTTGTTTTCAAATGGGCTTGAGACGGTAATTGCAGTGTTCTGCAAAATTGTTTTGGAAAATAGTTAAGGGCCCTGAAGACAGGGCCTGATTTCTTCCTTTCATGTTGACATAAATCTAGTTAAATTAAGAAAAGACTGTAAGGGGATGCACGGTTCTCAAGTTCAGTGTAAAGACTGCTGCAGAAGGGTTTGAAACAAAAAAAATGGGTACAAGGCAAAATACTCAGCTGAGTACAGAATTAAAAATAAAAGAGCACGTGTGAGTGTTGGTGAGTATTTTTTTAAGGAATAGGAGGAGAGACAGAAATTAGAGAAACAGTTAATGAAAGGAGAAATAGCTATTTTGTCAAAATACAGTATGGTGAAACTAGATTCAGGTCTCCCAGGGTAGCTCCTAGCATAAAAATAGTAGTGAAA